TCTTGTTCATATTATCATCGTTGTTCATATTATCATCGTTGTTCATATTATCATCGTTGTTCATATTATCATCGTTGTTCATATTATCATAGTCGTTCACATTATCATCGTTGTTCCTATTATCATTGTTGTTCCTATTATCACTGTTGTTCCTATTATCATTGTTGTTCCTATTATCATTGTTGTTCATATAATTTTTTTGTGCTGGGCCTATGGGCACAGTACATTTGTTTTTGGTGAGTTAGGAATGATCGGAATTTAGTGTTACGAATGCCATTGGTGGACCTCGTCATGATTGACATTGGTGAAACACGAGGTGAAAATGCACGTTGAGATCTGTAAGATCGGGACACGGAGGAGGTGAAAGAGGTTGAACATATGTGGTTTTCGTGGTGAGAGTGCCTTAATCCAACTTACTTTAAACTTCATTTGGTAGTATTCTAAGCAGATAATTAGAAACTGGAGCTAAATTAGAAACTTTAAGTGCGATTTTTGTTTTTTGATACAACTCGAATAAGTTACGTAAACAAAAGATTGTAAATGGACAGGCCAGGAATTTTTACTGCGTCATTGATGTAAAATAGTACTCGCACGAGTTTTATATTATTTTATTAGCAAGAAAAATGATATTTGGTTTGATGAGCAAAACATATTTATTTCTAGTCGAATATTTTTATGACAAAAACGTATTTCATGCCGTAAGCTTGAATGGGGGCGGGCCAGTAATTTCTACTGCGACATTGATCTAAAATAGTACTACATACTATTGGTATTTTCTAAAACGAGGAGCGACCTAAAACCACCTAAAACCACCTGAAACCACCTAAAACGAGCTGAAACCATCTTGAAATCACCTGAAACCAGCCGAAACATTGAATCTCCATCGAGTTTGTCGTCCAGTTTGTGTATTTTATTGACTTTTATCGATCGATCGAGTGTTGGTTTTCCTCGGAAGGGATGTACTTCATGGTAGAATGTCATATAGTCGCTCATACGTATAGTCTCCCATAGAAGTATTCCACACTTATACCTCACCTCTCCCTTGCTATGATTACCTATTCCTAGCTATGATCAACCGTCCCTACCTATGATCAACTGTTCCTAGCCATGATCAACTGTCATGTGCCCAGCACATTTGACACGTTTTCCCGTGTCAAAACTTGTTATTGTTATTATTATTAACCGCCGCTAGTGAAGATGGCCAACTTCCATTCAAACTCCCCGCTAACAAATGTATTTCCCATATCATTTTTAATTAGATCTATATTGTTTTTTTTTAGAATAAAAAATATGACACTTCAAAGACAGTTTCAACTGGGCTTTTCGACCCTAATGCCGATTTCTTTAAAAAATCCGTCAAATACACATTGGCAACGTTAATATCGTTAGTAGTTGTTGGAATCTGCTATGAGTTCATTAGGAAGTTGAGACTGAGAGCACGAATTGATAACGAAGGTAAGCTATATACGCTCTATATGCAAAATCATGGTCGGGCTCAAAAACATAGGAGAGAAGCTGAGAACGAAATAGTACTTGGGAAGTACGTTAATGTGACGTATCTAGTATTGCAACCCGTTGACTGTTCATGTATGTATTTTTCATATAAACTCAAATGAATACAATAATACTCTAGTAAGACCTTGAATAAACTTGTCATGATAAAATATCAAACCTACAAAAAATTGCTTGAAGAAACACAATCACATCACAATCCAAGCAAAAAAAAAAAAAAAAAAAAAGAACATGAAGCCCCGTACATTTATATCATGTGAAGTTAACGCGATATCAGGAATTGGCTTGGAGCTCTCGGCAAATCAGAAGCGCCATAGCGAGTAAAATGTATAATAATTTACTGTCTAATCAAAGTAACTTTGGTATACATTAATCGTTCATTCAAATTTTGCTATTTTTAGTATGAATTAATTATAGTAATAAAAGTAAAGATAAATATAAATAGTAACAATTCAGGATCTCTGTTGAACTATGATACCTACGTACCGACCTATTTATAGTAATATTTATAATAATGTTGATTTTTTTCCAGAAAAGCTTAGAGTGATGATAAATAAAAAAGAAGAAATGAGCAGCATTGTACGCGACTTGAAACAGACAATGAGCAAACTCTGCGAAGAGCTCACTGAAAAACACAAAAAAGAAATATTCCTTTTAAGGAAAATGAAAAGGAAAGCTAAAAAAACATTTGGAAATCATGAACAAGAAGTTCCAATGAAAAGATTAACTCARAAAGACGTTTCTTTATAATCAAGTCAATAACCCATGAAGCCTAAGGCCATGAGGGCGAGAGGTCTAATTGTTTTAGTCAAAACCAATTTGTCGGTCAAATAAATGGATACAAAGAATTTTGGCCGGAATTAGTTTGAAAACGCGAGCCGCCATTCTTTTGGTTTTCAAAACCAATACTTTTCGCTATGCTTGTTGTCTAGAACACGGTCGTGACACGGTGAAGCATACGGAAGATCAATCACATTGCTTGATACTGGCGTTACTCTCCATCCAATCAAATACCCGGAACGCGACATAGACACAGCGCAGACACAGTCACACCAAGGTCACGGCACTGCCATACCAATTACATTGCGCGAGAAAAAAAATTAGCGAATTAAAATTCTAGAAAACATCACGGTCCACGGCAAGGCATCCATAAAAATTAGGTCACCCATAAAAATTAAATAAATCATAAAATGAATAAACCACGGTAGCTCAGCTACCGCAGCGAAGGGTTTATGATAAACCATTTAGACTAATACACGATAGACGGAGTAATAAAAGTATTTATTTGTGTGTATACAGTCCTTTGAATAAACGTTGTCGTTGATTGGAACATCCCTTCGCGCCTAGACCGAAAAGGATAACGGGTAAATTACCCAGAACTTGCGTCATCCAAACTGCTCGACAGTTTAAAAGGGAAAGAAAACAGCGAGCTCAAGACGTGTTAGATAACATATGCGGCAGCTAGTAAATGTGAATTAATTATCCCCATGATCCTGTTCTAGGCGCGTATGGATGAAGCCGATCAAACGACAACGTTTAGTCAAAGGACTGTATATGGATTTGATAAATACCAAGTAAAGTTACCGCTTCCAATTAAAGTTAGGGCTAAGGCAATCTTAAACGTTAAAGTTTTTTGACTTACCGAGGCTCATGTCAAACGTCGAACTTCGCATGAGCCGAACCTAATGACATCAAAGAAGCCTTGTTATCCATTGTTTTAAGTAGGTTCGGCTCATCGACGTTTGTCCTGAGCGTAATTGTACTGACTGAGTAATTCTATCTGCTTCTACATAATTTAGCTAGAGAATTGTATAACATAGTTTATATTTTACAGACAAGAAAAGTTTGGRTTTTACTTGTACGAATTGCAGGGCTGCTGGATAGTTAAAAAAATTATTTCAAGTTAAGTTTTTGTAAAAAGTTGGTTTCACTTTAGCATGATCTGTAAATCATCTTTAATAAATGAAGCACCTTTTATATCATATCTTCTCAAATGAAAGTTTTTTCGTTCACTTGATTTTAATTAAATCACAGTAATTTTTTCTTTTCGCTATCTTTTCATTTTTTCAATATTACCTTTTAACCCCGAGTATCCAGGTGTTTTTTCTTTATTATTTGATTAGTAATCCTGAGTATTCGTTTTTTTCCCACTACTAATTCTATTCGTGTTTTCCCTATTATTATCATTGTCATTAGTATTAGCATTAGTATTATTATTAATATTAATATTATTATTATTATTAAAGTTAGGGCTAAGGCAATCTTAAATGTTAAAGTTTTTTGACTTACCAAGGCTCATGTCAAACGTCGAACTTCGCATGAGCCGATCTTATCTTATCCATTTCTAATAAGTGCTTGTACATACTTGAATTAACAGTTGCTTTTGAATCGAATCTTGACAATAACATTGAACGTAAGAAACTTAAATATTTGGAACCCGTAAATCAACAAAAGAGTCAATTCACGGATGTCAAGTTTGTCAATCTATCCATCAGCACCCTTGGTGTCTTCTCCAACAAATCATCAGAGTTTGTAGAAATGATGAACGAATTAGGTTTAGAGAAAAAGCAGCAGAATTATAYATTTAGRAGCGTAACGAAAATCATCATCAGATCSACTTATTACATTTTTTGTTGTCGTAACAAAGCATGGGATAATCCTGAATTTGATAAAGTTTTAGTTTTGTAAATTTTCAGGTGTTCTTATTCAAGTCATATTCGATTAGTCAATTGTAAATTGCCTTTAAGTAGAGAGATTTACAATTGCTGTAAAAATATTAAAAATAAAGTTTTCATTATTATTCAATATAAAATCAGAATACTTTTTAATACAATTTACTTATTTCATTTTCTTTCTTCTATTTTATTATTATAATCCTATAATATTTCGATGACCTGAAAACATTATTTTATCTTTGCCGCGTCTTCCTTTCACATTTATTGATTTATTGACACGAGGTTATTAATTCTATTGGTGACAATTTTTTAAGTTTATATTAAAGATAATCTTGAGCTCGTATTGACTCGTATTAATAACTTCCGTAACTTCTAATCTGACATATGCGTGCTTTTTAATCAAAAAACAATTAATAAGGCGAAATTGAGTCCGTCTAATATCAACAACTGATAAACACCTGTATGTTATGTTTTTGAATTGTGGGGCAAGAAATTATTATTGGGAATAAAGGAAAACCGGAGACACTTTAGAATCTTTCTTTCAAGATCATGGCAGCAATTTATGGGCCTTCGAATTACTTTTGGAATAGTAGTATTTCAGAAGATAATCTCAAACTGCAGCAAATTCTCAAAGACTACTTTTCGACTATAACTCTGATCATGGGAACAGCATTAGTGGTTCTTGGACCATTCATCATTTTCGCTAACGGTATCGTCATTGCTGCCATATGGAAAGACCCCTTCAAACAGCTTCGCTCTTCGCCTTCAAACATCATCATTGCAAGTATGGCAATCTGCGACTTTTTGGTAGGAATAGCCGCAATCATCCCATTTAGCACTTGGTTCTTCACTATGTCAGTGAAAGCAGAAATAGCAAACAATTTTGCCACAGTGGCTTATGCGTTTGGAGATTTACTCTTAGGAACATCTTCAATCCATGTACTCGGTCTGACAATTGATCGTATGCTTGCTGTTGTTAGTCCACTTCTTTATAAATCTCGAGTGACAAGAAAAAGATGTAAACTTTCTGTAATCTTGCTATGGGTGACTGTGATTCTGATTGTTATTTCGCAATGGCAACTGATGCAATATTATCACGTTTTTAATGTTTTATCGGCTTCTTTTATCGGCACTACAACATTGGCTATAACTTGCCTTTGCTTCGTTATTATTTACAAGGTACGAAGACAAACCAGGATAATGAAGAAAAACCAAGAACCATTCGCTTTTGGAAATCGAATCGCGGCAGAAAGAGATCGAAAAACAACCAAATCAATCCTGTTGATTTTGGTACTGTTCATTCTTTGTGTTAAATTGTATTTTGTTAGTTTGAGTGTCCTTCTCTCTTGCTCTAGCTGTCATCGTCGCTTAGACGTCATCATTACGGTATTTTATTTCTCACTGGTAATGCTTCACGTCAATTCCGCTATCAACCCGATCCTGTATGCTTTCAGACTTCCTAAATTTCGAAAGCCTGTGTTTTTTATTTTGAAGAAAATCAGAAGAAAGAATTATGTTGATACGGAAAGATCCCAAAATCTACAAGTTCATCGAGACGGGAATTCCAACAAGAATGGGGCTAAAAACTGCTCCCTTGAAGACACTGCACTTTAAACTGACCAAGGAAATGTAAATTTTAAAATAACGCCATCAATGTGATTTTTATGCCAGGGAAGAAGAAAAAAAGTTCTAGCATAATGTTTAGCTATAGAACACAAGAAGAAACACGAATGAAAACTTTATTAGCCCTGTGACTCCTACGACGCCCGAAACCGAGAAAAACGCATCTTACTTGGAGAATTCAAGCTTCAACAACTTTGAGCGAGTTATAATAATAATAAGTTTATCTAACGAGGTGAAACACAGTCGCAGACTGATAAACTTGTGGACTATATATATATATATACATATATATATATATATATATTATAAAAAATCTAAATACCAATCTAAAATTTTCACTGCGAAACAGAAAATTTTTTGAAATACAAAACCCAGAAAAATGAGCAAGATTCTGACGAAAAATATCTTTAAACGTTCTCAGGAAACCAAATATGCCTATTTTTGACGTCAATTTCAAAAGCCAAAAAATCACTCGTATTTAATTGCATCCCTTTTCTTTCAATACTTTATCTAATCAAAATAAATCACTTTTACACGGATGTAGCTGTAGTCTTTAGTGCTTTCTTTGGTATCAATTAGCTTTCTACATAGCGAGCATACTACACGATTTTTGCCTCGTGTTGCACCATGGGTAAGCAAGCCCCACACGGCCTCTGGCACCCAGGGTACACCATGGGAAATTCCAGAAATCATGTATTTAATAAGCAACCAGATAGTTTTGGTTAAAATCTTGATCTTATGGTTTGCTGGACGACCATTTGAGGAACAATGTTTTTAAACAGTAAAAACCTCAAATGGAGATTCTTAGTCTTAATTCAATTTAGAAACCTATCGTGTAAATAAAGAGAGTAAAAAAGAAAAAAAAAAAAAGAAAAAGAAAGACTGAAAGTCTATACATTTCAATGTTATCATTCTAATTACTCTAGGCTTCATACATGCATGTTGCTTGCTTTTCCTCAATAAAATAGACTTGTATCGAGGCAATGCATTGTATATATATTGAATATTGTAGATATCGATAACAGAGCCAGTAATAAAATAAACGTGGAATGGCAGTAATAAAAGAAATGTGGAATGGCAGTTCCTAATAAATTATGTGAAATTAAAATTACTAAGGCTTGTTGAAAATTTGTATATATTATCAATACTAAACTCTCATCAATGTAACTTGACGATAAGGAAGTTCGTAATCACATATTCACAAGATCATAGATTAAAGATAGAAAAACTGATAATTACGATATTTAATATTTAAAATGAAAATGAGTTAAAAGATCATAAGAGACATGTGCGCTTTAGGGTGAGAACAGATGGAAAACTGAAGTAGAAATAGGGTTGAAGGGGCCATTTGTGTTTGCATGACCAAAACGAACTATGGGCATTAATCTAAACACGAATAACTGTTGTACTTTTTTAAATATGTTTTCGTCAACTACAAAAAACATCGAATATATCAACAATAACTCGTGTGTGTTATTGACAAGAATAACTGCATCAGAAACCTAATGACGATCGCCCCTCAACCTTTTTATTTTCAATACATATCATGTATATAAATCAACTCCACATGTTGGCCAGAAAAATATCTAAAGTTAATATTATTGCTTTCTTTATCATGGATTTTTCTCATTAAGTCAAACTCATATATATATAAATTTTAATTCCAATTTAAATTTATAAGCATTACCATTCTATTTTTTATTATGTCTATTTCGTATATTTTTGTTGTTTGTTTGTTTGTTAATATCAGCGACTTTTCTTTTAATTTTCGTTTTTTTCTTTTTGAAAATTGTCATTGGATCATCATGATTGGATGTACACAGTCTTATTGTTTGTCCATAATGTCATAGCACACCTAAAAACACGTCACTTGTCCTGTGATCTTGTCTATTAGAAGCTGTCTTACACTTTTCATCCTGAAAGGTGATTTTTTTTCCGAATCAAATTCAGATTTAAAACAAAAACATCGCAGCCATATTGAAAAGGAAGTCCAGAAATCTATATGGCACTTGAAAGTATCTGAAAATGGCAGCGATCTATGGAAAAGTAGATTGGAAAAATACGACACTTGCAGACATTGTGCTGACAATACATCGACTCCTTCCAAAAGATCACTCCAAATTTAGTACAGCAACGGGAATTGTGATCGCAATTTTGGGACCAATTACTGCTGTGGTCAACGGCATTGTTATTGCAGCCATTTGGAAAGACCCATTCAAACAACATCGTTCTACGCCTTCAAATATCATTATTGGCAGCATGGCAACTTGCGACTTTCTGGGTGGAATTGTTGGCGGTGTTATGGTGTCTTTGTATTGTTTCAGTTTTTCTAGTAAGACTCAATTGTCGCTCGATCTTGCCCCAATTTCGTTTGCTGTGTTAGCGTTTCTAGTAAAATTGTCCGTTTTTCATGACCTTGCTTTAATGATCGATCGTGTGATTTCCGTCGTTAATCCTTTACTCTACAAATTCCGTGTGAGAAGGAAAAGAATTCTAATTTTTGTGGTTTTGACTTGGTTATTTCATCTCATTATAATTCTATTGCAAGTACTACTGCCCAAACACTTTTACATTCACAATGTCATGTTCATTGTTTTGCTTTTCCTAGCCGTTGCGATCGCGTCTTTTCTGTCTTTGTTTATCATTTACAATGTAAGAAAACAGACGAAAAAATTGAGGGAGACCGTAGTAGCCAAAAACTATAAAATCATAGAAGCGAGACAAAGAAAGCTAACCAAATCAATCTCTATTATTTGTCTAGTTCTGAGAGTTTGTTTTTTGCCTTTTTTCATTACTTGGTTTATTCTGTTGACATGTACATCTTGTCATTCTAATTTATCAACCATCACTACATCATTTTTTTAAATCAATTATTATGATGTACCTCAACTTCATCATAAATCCTTTCCTTTATGCTTTTCGTCTCCCGAAATTTAAAAAGCCTGTAGCACTGATAGTGAAAAGTCTGTTCTGTTGCTCATCTTTGAATACTAACAACTCACGAAGAACATGCTTGAATAACAAACGTGAAAGACGAAATAAGAATCCAAGGCAAGATACCTACATCACTACAAAACTTTGATTACAAATAAGCACGTCGTCATATTTCATTATTCTAATTTTAACCGAAATGAAGAAAATATTGAGTAAAAATTGTCATTCAATGGATGTTATCAAAATTAGTAAGAACTGTGCATAAAAACTGTCAGCTAAAAAAGGAAATTACGTTATGATACGACAATAAAGATGGCAGAGGGAAAAGCAAGCCTAACAACGTTAGTCAAGACCTTGGAAACTTGCCACTAACCAAATTCAAACAAACAATAAAACTACCGTTAAGGAAATACAATTTACTATCTAGAAAAATGAAAAGAAAATACTTTGTGTGACTTTGAGTGCCTTTGACATTTTCGGTGTTGCTAGAAGCATATTATTAATTAATAAAAATAAAACTTCCCGTCAATACTTTACTTATAGTATACTATTTACACAATAAATATATTTTGATTACATAAATATGTATGCTGGTGGATCTTGAGTTTGTATTCAGCAATATTTTCGAGTTAATCAAGATTTGAATCTAAAAACAAAATAGAAAGTTATGATTACAAATAGAAAAGATGCTTGACTGAAAACTTATTTTTCTATTGTTTTTATCCTTAGAATGAATGCATATAGGATGAATCTTGATTTTTATTTTGACAAGAAAAATTAAAATAATAGCCAAAGGCACCGTAAGCTCAGTAAAATTTAATAATAAGCTAAATAGACTTTTTAGTGTTATCTCTGCAAGCTTAGTTTTATATAGAAGTTCAGTGGAAGTGGACGCAATACTAAAATAAACTGAGAAATAATTGCTGCGAGCCGGCAGGCGAGCAGCAACACTTGTCTTTACAGTTGGGATCCCTGTGTGCTATATGCCATAAAAAATCTCGATTTATTGTTTGTAAAGTTATTGTTCCATATAGTAATTAATGGCTATGTTGCACTGAATTGCATATTGTTCATTGATTTTTATCAAGACATCAGCCATTTGACCTCCATGACCCCTATTTTTATTTCCTTTTGCTATTTATAACCTTTCTTGTATTCTTCTCTAATTATTGATTTGCATGTATTTACAAAAAGAGCTATGTACCAATTACTTTTTGTATACTATTATTGTTGCTTTCCTTATTCACTATAGACACTGTATTGTTTTCCCACTATTATCATGGACTTAATACTTCAATAACATCTACAGGAGCATATACATATATAAGTAATGCCCCACAACACGTTCGTCCTTGCTACTTATATCTAGACGGTTCTTATATCTTATTAACATTGGTATACACCCCTTCGCATCATTGTGAGCGCCTGCAGCATTCCACTTGCACATTGCAACGACTAGTACTAAAGTTATTTAAGACAAGATTTGACTTTTTAAAATTTATTTATTGGTTACAGTAACTCTTGAAAATTGAGAATATTCAAGAAAAATTTTTAAAATTTTATTTGTACTTGAAAATGTCTAGCATGTTGAACATTGATGATTCTAAATTACTATCTATCACGCAAGTTACTATAATCTGACAATTACCACACTTACTTTATAGATAAAGGCTTAACTGTCTCCGGTTACTTCTTGATGATCAGGCTGTCATACAATGGTTTTTCGAACTTATTTCCCTCAAGGTCATTTGTTTCCATTTTTTCTTCAAAGACAATTGAATTTATAGAATTCACAAGCCATTTCTTAGAAAGTATTTATCATAGGCATGAATATATTTTTCGATTTATTTAAATACATAAATTTTTAAAACGGATCCTTAAGACGTCTCCTTCATTTCCTTGTGTAGATCTCTTGTAGCGTATATAGTTCTGACTACATAAGTATTTTATCAAAGGTAAAACCCGGAACAGATGCTTTATCGGGTGGTATTGTTAAAATTTCGTCAAATTTGTCTAATGATAACCTTTTATGGTTCGCACACACAAAGTTAAAATTAAACTAATATCGTCAGTGAGTGATTCAACCAGTTAACGTGATATAATCGACATACGTCATTCCCCAAACTACCAAAATATCTTCCAGTGAAGATTATCTAAAGGTAAATTAAAATACTAACTCACTACAGTGGTCTTTTAAGAACAGCCGACAGCAGCTATTTTGCAACTATAACACAACGTCTGATCCGAGACAAAACCCTCGTCACATAACCAAGTTCGAACCCAAAAAGAGGTGACTTTGATCAACCAAGAGGACGTTTATGGGAAACGATCAAAATTGAAGGTTATCAATAAACCATCATATTTTTTCTGTATAACCAGATAATCCATTCATGCGAAGTGAGATAAAATGGCAGCATATCATGGTACTTTTGAAAACATCTGGTCGCGAACTGCTTCGGAGGAAACACTGTTGCTGAACAATATTTACCAAACTTCTCCTTCATCTGCAACACTTATTTTTGGTATCATCCAGACCATAATGGGACCTGTGGCTATTGTCGCAAATGGTATTGTTATCTATGCAATATGGAAAGACCCATTCAAGACACTTCGCTCTTCTCCATCAAATATCTTGATAGCAAGCATGGCGACGTGTGATGTTCTAGTTGGACTGGTGTGCACAACTTCCCAAGCTATTTTGTTTTTCGGTGCATATACTAAATCCATCGGCCTTACTATTTTTTGGATTCCAATAGCGTTTAGTATAGGAGTGCTTTTAATAGGCGTTTCAATGTTTCATATATTGGCTTTGACTATCGATCGAGTTATTGCTGTTGTCGATCCCCTTCGGTACAAATCTCGCGTAACTAAATCAAAAATGTTTGCCTGTACACTTCTGATATGGGGATTTTTCATATTTTTGATTTTAATACGTATCCCGCTCCAAAATCACTTCTATGTCCACTTGCTTTTAGTAAACTTAACTTTTCATATTGCTATTATTATTGAGACAGTCCTTTCTCTTTTTATCATATTAGAAGTCTGGAAACAAACAAGAAATCTCAAGAAGAAATCACTAATAAGTGTAACTTTTTTAAGAAACAAAAAAACGACAAAATCCATTCTTCTTATACTGTTCATTTTTAAAGCGTGTTTTACACCGATTTTTGTCGCAGACTCTGTAATTCTTGCATGTTCCGCATGTCATTCTCATCTCAGTGTTATTTCAACAATACTTTGTTTATCTCTCGTATTGACCCACGTAAATTCTTGTCTGAATCCTTTTCTTTATGCTTTTCGTCTTCCTAAATTTCGAAAACCTGTAGCTTTAATAGCTAAACAATTATTTTGCTGTAGACGTCATTCAAAAGTATACAATGACCACACTTTGGAAGATTTGAATGCCAATTATAAAGTAAAGCACAGCAAGGAAAGACTAAATGCAGTCAATGTTGAACCGGCAAATACTTTTGTTGATACTAGATTGTAGTCACTCTGCTATGCAGTACGATAGTTCAGTATCCTAAAAATCGTTCGTTTTGATTGGCTGTTGGAGCGGAAGGTAGTCAAGCTCTATTTCTGACCGCGGTAGGGTATCTCTTCATACCGGATAGCTAAACAGGAATCCATGAAGTGGAAAAGGAAATGGAAACCGTCTGAAACTTTGTCCTCGGCCTTGAGAACGATTCGGGAAGAATTGGTCCGTATATTCAAAACCTCGGCCTGTAAATAACCTCGCATGATCGAGCTCTATGTGCTGTTTGAAACCAAACATTCTGAAGGATGTTCATCTGCCATCTTGTATACAGCCTAAAGAAGTTCACTGAATATGGTCGAAATATAGGTGTTTTCAAAAACAAAAATATCGTTACTTGTGTTATCTTATATAAATATATTGTCTGGATAGACAAAGACTTTTCAATTTGAATGTTTATGCAAAGAACTATAAAACTAAACTAAATTTTGTGACTTACGTAAAGAAGAATCACAGTTATATACTCAAATAGAATGATAAAGAAATATTAAAGTCAAAAAATTTTAAAATCCTGCAGATTTTTGGCCACTCATTGTATATAATATACCCCATCCCCAACAAATGGCATTTGTAAACATCAGGCCCCGGTTGTGCGAAGCCTAGCGCTATCCGACGGATAAATCTTATCCAGTGGTTAAATTTATTGGATAACAGCATCGACTTATTAGCCATCACGTGATGGTGCATAGCCTCTATTAACGAAATGTTATGAAAGCATTGGTTATTGATTAGCGTGCTTCCATCGAGTTTCAGGTGCACTTGGTCGGTTGCTTAACACTCAAGAACTGAGCTAGAGTTCGACTACGCCTAGTGCGACTCTTACGCTTCCTTCGTGCTAAGAAGCCTCCCGAGTGCATTCAAAGTCGATGGAAGCACGCTTATCAATGACCAATCCCTTATCTAGAACAATACAATGCCTTTACCGTCCGGGGAATCGAATTATTATGTAAAATTATTATTGTGTTGTTCCTGCCATCCAACATGTCTGCCATCACAATGATGGGTTGCAAGCATTCCCAAGAGAGTCAAAAGACAAAAACACGGCTGCCATTTGGTGCCTTTAACAAGAGGTCGGGAGGACGTAAGGTGCAATCGAAGAATATCAATATCTATTTCTGGATATTCCTGTTTATTGAGGCCGAAGTAAACTGATGATGAATCAAATTCGTATGACCAAAAAAAGAGAAGCTCTCCAAGTGAGTTTGGCATAACATTAAATTAAATTATCTTAAGTCATAAATCACTGATTTTAAGAATCGTAAAAAGAGAATGAAAAATTACATTTATATACCGAATTAGGAACCTTCACAGTCGAATGAGAAAATAGAAACATAAAAAGGTTTGCGGAAAAATAACTACGGAAAGAATGTTATACATGTCTAGTACTCCAGATTACCCCTTAAAGTGTATATGACACGAAAAAATTTTAATGTTAAGAATGTGTAGTTTATTGGCATTAATAAGAATATCA